TTTAAAAAAAATAATGGATAATGGGTACCAAGCAAGTTAAAAGTTCAGCAGAACAATTTACACTAACTCTCAAGACTTCAAAATAATCTGCTGTTCTTTGAAACCTTCTAGGCACACTTGTGGCTCATAAACATACGTAGTCTTGAGTTTAAGGATTAAAAAACAAGCAGGATCACAATATTTTTCATTTTATTATAAGAGTTATATTTATATATGTTGTATGTCTTTATTTTCAGATTAATTTTAAACTAAAATATTGTAACTTTATCTACAGTTATTTGGAGACTGCTGCTTGTGTTCATTTGCTTTTGCTTCTGGGGAATGCCTTAAGTTAACATTTCTGGCAATTCGGTGGCATGAGAATATATTTACACCTATAAGGTGAGCTGATTGTTTCCTCCTTTACTTCCTATCTCTTTTAAAAAGCAATTATATTTTGACCTATGTAAACATAATAGTATTGGTAAATGCAATGTGAATTTTAACTTCTGAAGCTTTACAAATTCTTTCTTCCCATAGTATTGCTCTATTTCTTTAGTTATTATTTCTAAATGTTTAGTATAGAAAGTCTTCTTTTTGTTTCGTTTCTCTTCTTACAGTGTAACAATATGTAAAATATAAAGCAGGCTATATCTTATAATGGACCTCTGGTAGCAAAGTGGTTACAAATTGGGCTACGAACCGCAAGGTCAGCAGTTTGAAACTACCAACTGTTCCACGGGAGAAAGATGAGGCTTTCTGTTCCCATGAAGATTTACAGCCTCGGAAACCCTGTACAGGGTCGCTAAGAGTCAGAACCAACTCCACGGCACGTAACCACTACCACCACCAATGTCGTATAAGTTTGAAATACCGATGACACAGCTTCCAGCATCACAGCAACATGCAGAATACCAAAGTACAGGAAACTGACAGATGAGTAGTGACATTTTGGTTCTTTCAGGAGGTAGCATGTGATCAAGAACTGATAGTATTGAAGGGAGAAATTGAAACTTCACAGAAGGTACTGGCAAAAAACAAGGATCCAGGAACTGATAGAATCCTAATGGAAATCTTTCAACAAACTGATGCAGCACTGGAAACACTCACCTATGCCAGGAGACTTGGAAGACCCCTAACTGACCACCCAACTGGAAGAGATCCTACCATATTTGTGTCTATGGCAAAGAAAAGTGATCCAACATAATGTGGAAATTAGCATACAATATCATTGATATGATACACACATTCCTATCACAGTAAATTTTTACTGAAAGTAATTTTAAAATGATGACAGTAGTACATTGACAGGGAGCTAACAAATTCAAGCTGGATTCAGATAAGGATGTGGAAGGAGGGAAATCACTGTTGATGTCAGGTGAATCTTGGCTGAAGACTGAAAGCAGAGAATACCAGAAAGATGTTTTGTTGTTGTTGTTAAGTGCCGTTGAGTCGGTTCCGACCCATAGCGACCCTGTACAGGGTTTCCGAGGGTGTAAATCCTTACCTGTGTTTTATTGACTTTACTAAGCTTTTTGGCTATGTGGATTATTACAAACTATGGATAACATTGCAAAGAGTGAAAATTCCAGAATTCTTTTAATTGTGCTTCTACAGAACTTGTACTAAGACCAGGAGACATTTTGAATAGAACAATGAGATGCTTCATGGTTTAAAATAAGGAAAGATACGAGTTTGGGTTGAATCCTTTCATCATAGTTTTTTAATGTGCATGTTGAGCAAATAACCTGAAAAGCTAGAGTTTATGAAGAATGTGACATCAGGATTGGAGAAAGATTCAATAACCTGTAATATGCAGATGACACAGCCATGCTTCTGAAATCAAAGAGGACTTAAAGCAGTTACTGATGAAGATCAAAGACCTTCAGTTAAGCATGGATTATACTTAGCATAAAGAAAACAAATCCACATTACTGCATCCATTAGCAATAGCATGATAAACAAAGATAATGTTAGCGTTGCTGAAGATTTCATTTTATTTAAATCCACAATCAACACCCAGGGACACAGCCGTTAAGAAATCAAATGATGTATTTCATTGGGCAAATCTGCTTCAAGGTTTTCGTTAAAGTGTTAAAAAGCAAAGATGTCACCTTGAGGATGGGGCACCTGACCCATGATATTTTCAGTCGCCTCATATGCTTGCAAAAGCTGGACAGTGAGTCAGGAAGACAGAAAAAGAATTGATGCCTTTTTATATGGTGTTAATGAAAAATATTGAATATATCATGGACTGCCAGAATGAACAAACAAATATATCCTTGGAAGTATTAGTGCCAGAATACTCCTTAGAAGTGCAACAGAGAAAAATCCTTAGGAGATGGGTTGACACAGTGGCTGCTATAATGGGCTAACTTAGCGGTGATTGTGAGATGGAGCAGGAGGAACAGGTAACGTTTCATTCTATATTCTATAACTGTAAGTTAGAACCAACTCGACAACACGTCACGACAGCATTGTCTTCACAACAGCATTGTCTTACATCTCTAAAAGTAGCTATTTCAAAACGTAATGTAATTGAAATTTTAAAGGGGCATGGTTTATTTGAATTTTTATATGCTCAAGTGTTATTTTTACCAATTTAAAATACCTTTATTTATTTTTTAAAACCCTATTAGGAAAATGCATTAAAAGTATACAATGCCTTTGAAAAATTTAGGAAACGGGAGTCATTTTTTAGATTTTTTCCTATTTATTTTTTATGCTAACAGTACTTTATTGAGGCATATGGTGATTGGCATGCAAAGGATGGAAACAAAGACAAAGAATCAGTTGTTGGAAAATATGGCCTTGGTGATAGAAATGATACTGAAGATTGTATGATACAGTTTTGTAAGATGAATGACTTGTTCATTGCAAATGCCTTTTTAAAATCAACATAAAAGATGACTACACACATGAACTTCACCAGATGGAATACACAGAAATCAAATTGACTATATCTGTGAATAATTAAAAAATGGCTGCAATCATACATGGACAGAGAACATCAGAGGTTCAAGCTATTCAGAAGATTACGTGGAATTAGGGATATCATTCCTGACGTCAGGTGTTTCTTGGCTGAATCCAGAGAATATAAAAAAAATGTTTATCTGTGCTTCACTGACTATGCAAAGGCTCTCGATTGTGTGGATCATGACAAGCTATGGACAACATTGCGGAGAATGAGTATTCCGGAACACTGAATTGTACTCATGAGGAACCTGTTAACAGACCAAGAGGCAGTTGTTCGAACAGAATAAGGGAACACTGAATAGTTTAAAATTAGGAAAGATAATGTGCCAGGGTTGTAGTCTCTCACTGTACTTAATCAATCTGTATGTTGAGCAAATAATCCAAGAAGCTAGATTATATGAAGAAAAACTTGGCATCAGGATTAGAAGAAGACTCATTAACAATCTGAGCTATAAAGATGATACAACTTTGCTTGCTGAAAGCAAAGAGGACTTAAAATATTTACTGATGAAGATGAATGACCACAGCCTTTGGGTTTACATTGCACCTCAATGTAAAGAAAACAAAAATCCTCATGACTAGGACCAATAAATAATATCAAGATAAATGAAGAAATGATTGAAGTTGTCAAAGACTTCATTTTGCTCAGATCAACCATCAACACTCATGGAAGCAGTAGTCAAGAAATCAAACCACACATATCGAACCAGGCAAATCTGCTGCACAAAACTCTTCGTTCAAGAGCAAAACTACCAGTTTGAGGACTAAAGAGCACCTGACATAAGCCAAGGTATTTACAGTAACCTCACATGCATGTGAAAGTTGGACAGTGAATAAGGAAGATCGTAGAAGAGTGATACATTTGAATAATGGTGTTTGAAGAGAATATTAACAGTACTTTTGAGGTAAAGCATTGGATTACAAAGTTGGTTTGAACCACAAAGTCGATGGCTCAAATTCAACAGTCTCTCCTTGAAAACCCTATACAGGGTTCCTATGAGTTGGAATTGACTTGACGGCACTTAACAACAACAGTGGACTGCTGGAAGAACAAACAAATCTACTTTGGAAGAAGTACAGTCAGAATGCTCCTTAAATGCCAGGATGGCCAGACTTCATCGTTAATTCTTTGGACATATTATCAGGAGTGACCACTCCCTGGAGGTCCTTCTCCATCATGCTTGGTAAAGTGGAGGGTCAGTGAAAAAAGAAGACCCCCAGTGAGATGAATTGACACAGTGGCGGCAGCAACAGGCTCAAGTGTAGCAATGATTGTGAGATTGGCGCAGCACCTGCCAGTGTTTAGCTCTGTTGGGTTAAGGTCACTATGAGTTGGTACAGACTCAGAGGCACCTAACAAAAACAACAACATATTTACATAAAGCAAAACTAACAAATTTTAAGTATACAACTAGATGGATTTTGGTGAATAAGAGTATATATATTTTAAGTGGAGATATATAATGTTTAATCACCATTAGATCTATCTATCTATCTATCTCTCTCTATATATACAATGTTGTCACCATTGCTCTTTACCCTTTTAATCTCTGTAAAAATGCTTGCTATTGTGTAAAAATAGGGGCATCAAACTGACAGTAGGTGTGTTTGGGGGTTGGCTAGGGAACATAGGACTACTAACAAAACTCCAGTACTGAGTTTGTCTAGCTAACTAGTTATTCCTCTTGTGCTCTGAATGGAATTCTCCATGGTCACTCACAGGACTTCTCAGTATATGTACATATGTCAGAATTTAGGTGAATTCGTTACTTTTTTTCTAATGAGCTATTTAAAACTTAATATTTCTATTTGAATTTACCTTCTTAGATCATTACTATATCGTGTTCATTGGGCACAACAAGACTGTTTCTTCCGCAGCTTAACTCCTAAGTGTGAGTCACTAAAGTCAAGAGGAGCTCTAATTTCTGCCTTCTCAAGAGATGGCCTTACCCTAGCAGTAACTGTTAATCAGAAAGACCCAAAGGTCAGTAGATGTAATCTGTCTTAGAAACTAATCTCTAAAAATGAGTTTTTACAGTTTAATCTATAAAAAAAGAGAACTCTGAGTTAAAAACACGTTTTTTTACTGAAAGAGGTTGGTTTTTTGTTTTTTTAATGTTCTTTAAATTGGTATTTTCTAATTCAACTTAATGTAGATTTTTAAAGTCATTTACATTAGCTTTCATAATTTAAAAAACTTGAGCCTCAGAAGTGAAGGATAAAGGGAACGGAGGAAAGAATGACCAAGTGGTAACCTGGTTCTTATGGAGGCACATAGTAGGAAAAGACTTCCTGGGTAATTTATTGACATAGTAGCAGATCTCTAGGTCTGCAGAAGCATATGTACAGAAGCATAAGTGCGCCTCACTGATCAGCTTGGTTAGTTTCCAAAGACCAGGTCATTATGTGAAATCGATCCTATTTTAGAATCTGTTTTGGCATCAGTATCTCCCTTCCTGCCTGGTTGCTTATTGCATGCCTGGTGCATCTTGGGATGCATGTGGCATGGTGGGTCCCCTTCCCTACTATGCCTTTCCACCATTTAGGAGCCAGCCCATTGGGGTTGATGATAGTAGAGGGGAGTCAGGTATTTCCCATTGCCTACGTTCAGTGGGGACCCTGTTTGTCCTGCACCCACTACCTCCTACCCTGTGCTGGGCCCTAACTTGTCACCTCAGAGCCCTAACAGTTCCTTCCTTCTCCCTCCTTTATTGCTGCAGCAGCAACTCTGAACCCTCACCAGGCCACTCCCTGTTTACCCAGGACCTCAAATTGTCCTGCTGTTGGCCCGTGCTCTCTGGGGCAGGGCTGAGAGTCGTGGATGAACAAGACAGGTGACTGGGGTTCCTTCTGTGGCCTTGTCACCGTTGAGGTCTCTAATATATTGTTTGCAGTATGCTGTAGAGGGCACTTGGGCCCAGTCGTGGCTCTGGGATACTGCTAAGTGTGAGGACTGGGTGTTATGAGTAAAGTCATTTTAAAGGTTTTTGTGGTGTTTTTTCCTAGGCAACTCAGGTGTTATTTATAAACACACTGAATTTTGTTACCCTCTCCGGCAGCCTTAAAGGATGTAGTAACAAGAATCCTGTAGTGCCAGCTACACTTACCAGGTGAGAACTCTTTTGTGCTTCTAGTGCTGTTGCTATTTTTCAGTTGTTTAACAAGTTTAAGGTTCTGCTAATTCAGTAGGTATCATTTAGATAAATATAACTGACTTTCAGCACTTCTGCCGGTTAGGTCCTATCCAAAAGGTGCTTTTTGTGAAGGAAAGTCTTAAATGCTTTGTAAAGAAGGTCTGATGGAGTAGAAGGTACATGAACATACTTTTTTTTTTCTCTTTCATGTCTTCCTATGTCTTCTTAAGAAGAATGGAATCATGATTGATTAGAGAAATATTAGGCTTAATTATAGAGATTGAAATGAAAAAGCCTAGATTGTAAGGATCCTGAGAGGCTGGGATGTTTCTAGCCTTTGAAACCCAAGTTTACACCCTCTGCATATGGATCAGTCAGTAGTAACACAGGAGGTGACTTGCTTGTTGTTGATCATAAACACAGAACATTCACCAATTCAACCATTTCTACATGTACAATTTAGTGACATTGATTACAGTCTTCAGGTTGTGCAACCATCTTCACAGGAGATGATGTTGGATGGGCAGTGAGCTACCATCAGGACATAAGTGGGATTGTAGACTAGGAAGAGTTACTTTGGGAGCCCTCCTGCCTTCTTTTCTGAACACTTTTCTTTTTTCTTTTCTTTTTTTTTTTTAATTTAAGGTTTTTATTGTGGATTGAGTGAAAGTTTACAGGGCACATCATCA